CTACCTACCAACCTCTACCTCTCGTCACTCTACGAAATCTTCCAATTGGGACTCCCCTATTCCCATCTCCGATAACCTTATCCAAGACCTCATGTGGTGAATCTTCCACCTACCCCACCTCCCAGGAAGACTTTGGACTGTCTGCCCTGCGCCTTTATCCATATTTATCGATGCCTCAGCAACTCAAACCGCAACAGTTATTCACCCCCTACACAATGAACCCATGACACTTAATCAATGTTTGCCCCAATCATTGCTCAACTCATCCTCCACTCACATAAAACTTTTTGCTATCTTATAAACTTTCAGATTTCTTGTTTCTGCTTACCCTCATCTTCTTTCATCAACCTCAATCAGACTTCACTCTGACAGTTAGACTGCTACAACTTTACTCCTTAGAATAAAATCAACTGACGAATCTTTCAACCCATGACTACGAACCATCGCTACAATCCTACTCATTTTTTATTCCCTCTTAAGTCCTGTCTGGATACCTAGAGCGCTAAATACAACAACTGACTTTATCTCTAAGACTGAAGATAATACAGATTGGGGATTCGTGGGACACGTAAAGGTAGAAATCTTCTCGTAAATAGATACATCAGTAATCGATCTCTTCACATCGGATTATCACCATGTCTGCACAACCTTCATTTCCCGAAACTGGTCAACAAAAGCTTTACAAATAGACGCCCTCTCATAATGATTGGAACGTACTGCCATCCCTTCCATATCGATGGATTTTCCCACCAACAACACTGTTACATTATACTCTCTCCAAGACACTCGCCAGCCCAGTCGACTACCTCCTTATACTACCTTCATCTCAACGCACCACTTGGTATCCTCGCATTCTCTCACTCAACGTCATCCACCGTTTCAACATTCCCAAATCCAGATTCTCCTGCCTCCCCAGCCCCAGGGTTCACTTCAACACCCCCAACCCGACAATCCTTGGCCTCACAACAATTTTTTCTCCACCTAAATTCCCCTCATTTCCCCTTTTTCCGCCAGCGCCGAATTTCATAACCATATCTCATAAAGGTTCCCACACCACTCCATGTACCTTGCTGCATTATCTCACCCAAACTCCAACCCTCTTCTATTCTCGCCTGAACCGCCTCGATCTGAAAACTGTGACCACTCTCCCCTTCATAAACTCCCACCTCTTTAAACCATTTCTCTATGTGCTTGTTAAAACCACCTCCGCTTACCGGACCTTCACCACGCATAGACCTAAACAAATAACCCCTCCTTATGTCTTGCCTAAACAGATCATAACTATTCAACAAATCTGGAAGTCAACCCAAGAAAGTCTCCTCTCCTCCTTCGGGATCGCGCAACCTTATTATAAACCTTCCATAATGACGATCAGTCTTAGTATACCCAGGGCGAACAACCCTCTGTCCAATATCAATCTCCTTGTATTGCAAGCTCAACCCCTCACCGCAGAGCTGCCAACTCTCTCACAAATACAAAAAGGCACCCCCATCTTTATAAGCCTGAGCTTCCGGATATCCTTTCAATATCCTCACCTTCTCCCTTATATGATCTATCACTCTCTTTAATTTTTCCCATCTCAATGGTCGTGCAGACTCTTCAATCACACCTCTCTGCAGCGAATACTCTTGGTAAGCTTTGCGGAAAGCCCGCACTCTGCTACTTTGGTATGGATCCCCCTCCCCTTCTCTCCCGATAAGTCGAAAACAAGCATTCAAGCAATTCACAACCGCACCTACAGGGGAAGGGGATACAAGCGGAAGACCTTCAACATCAGAAGTTCGACATCGGCTTTCCACCTCAACAAGCCACTGACTGCTAATGAACGACAAAACATCCAAGGTGATACACGTCATACAATCTTTTCCAGCCATGTTACATTCCAACCACTCATTCAAGGCAAGAAAAAACTTCTTCATTCCACCTCGCCATCGCTGACCAGCCCCGTACTCGCAAACCAATGCACTGCTCTACTCGAGACCGGCTTCATATCCACCTGCAAACTCCGGAGTGTTGCGCTTCTGTCTCCAGCCACCATCGCTCAGACATTCGTTCCACCATTCCCTGCAAGACGACAATCTCACTTGCGGGACGATGGAGGGAGTTGGGCGGTTCCATGAGGTGTGTGGGCCTGCGGCTTATTTTCCTGACTCACTTTTGTGCGAGCTGGCATCATCTACGGAGTTTCATTTTCCTATTTTATCCGGAAGAGACCTATGTAACATTATGCCAACAACTCCACACCTGGTTGCACGCAAACTAAAGAAACAAATTCAACAATACAACATCATTGACCCTCAACGACAACCAGCAGCGACTTACGGTTGGAAACTGGTACCGGGTCATAGGCATTTGGGACCTGACCTCCCAACCACAGATCTAGCACATCGAGTGCCTTCAAGACAACAGGGATTGCAGTTTCTAAAGATCGACGATGGACACAATTCATCTCAACATCTACGGTCAATTTGGGACTTTGACGTGACACTTACCTTGGCTGGAGTACGGCCTCGCTGGCCCGACCGCTACCACTGCTTTGACCCGCGATTGTATAAGTCACAGTTGCTTGACCAGCCACGACAGCTTGCGTGCTTTCCCGAGCCGCGCCTTCCAAACCCCGACCGCTCGCAGCATTCATCGCAAATGCGAACCTGCACGCACACGCACGCCACACAAGGGTCAGGTCTTTCAGAAGTTGACTCCTTTTCCCTCGCCTTGATTTGGTGAAGCGGTCCCACCCGCCCTCAATTTTTTCCCGCAGTGTGCGGGCCAGCGGCCCATTTTCCTGACTCACTTCTGTGCGATCTGGCATCATCTACGGAGTTTCATTTTTCTATTTTATCCGGAAGAGACCTGTGTATGTTGATGTTCATAGGGGGAGGGGACTGGAGGGGAGGCACAGTGGCTGGGCCATTGAAGAAGCTCTGTCCTGATGCTACCGGCTGACCCCTGGGCCATATCGTCCACCTGCTGTAGCAGGTATCGCACCTGCTGGTGGGTGCAGCTCCCGCATCTTCCCTCGTTGGAGGCTTGAGCAGGGATGTGGCTGCTACGGGTTCCCTGTAATACTAAATGACAAATGAGAATAAAAAAGGCCTGAAAAAAAAAGAAAAAAAAGGAAGAAGGTACCTTATCAGGAAAGTTGGGGCAAATCTTCCTCTTTGGGTAACATTGTCCGTAGAAGCATGCCGTGGGGTCTCCTTCCTCCGCTGGCTACGGGCTTTCCACAGCACTGCACTGCCAAGTGCTTGGCTGAGCGCCGCTCAGTGAGGTCCCTGCTATGGAACCAGTTTGGCCTGCCCTAAGTGGAAGACGAACAGGGTCTGGGAGGCGACTCGCCGTGGTGGTAGCAGACCTCCCTAGAAAAGGAAATGACACCCGCCTTGTTATTGGACTGTACAGGCCTATAAATCACATGCTCGAGGCACCTCCTTTTACCCAAAGAAAGAAGGGGGGAAGTGTCCGTCACGCGGGAGTCGCTGCATGGTTTGGTTTTACACCTGTACGTGAGACAAACCCAAAGGTCGAACCCAATGCCAGAGGAGCGCGGTTTCCCAGACTGCATGGTGTACACCTGTACGTGAGACAATCCACAGGTCGAACCCTCTGCAGAGTTGTCCGTTGAAACGATTGGTAGAAAGAGAGCCCTACAAACGGCAGGCATCCATCAGAAAGCGGAAAAAGCGGCCGTGTGGTCCGAATTCAAGTACCCGTAGCGCCGTGCCATCTTGGCGCACTCCCTTCGCAACGTGTCGCCGACATGTAACGTCTCGCTCTCTCTGGTTGGCAAGCATAGTCGCCGCGCCTTTCCCTGATGACATCCACATCTAGTCGTCGTGTCTTGTGACGAGGCTTCTGAATACCGCGGCGCCTGAGGATCTCACGTGCGTATTTATAGGTTGGCGGGAAGAAACGCATACTTGCCCTTCTACAAATTTTAAGTTGGCGCCCAACGTCGCTGTTCGCAGCCTGAGGGGCGTCCACAAGTCGTTTCGAAACTTTGGCGGGAAGCAGCTCCGGCTCTCAGGGGTTCGCGTTGGAAAAAAAAGGGCGCGTGCATCCTTCCACTTTCCAGGGAAAATACACACACGCGTGCTGCATGTACCGCTAGATGCAGAAAACCAGCGGAGTAAGGACCTCGCAGCACTACTCCCCACATGCACAAAAGACAAAAAAATATGGCGGTGCATATCCCCATGTTCTAGCAGAAGATTCATTGCACATTTGGAGAGTAGTGCAGCGAGGCCCTAAATAAGGGCGAATTACGCAATCCCTTCTCACAGTTGCTCAGACACACTAATACTTTCTTAAATGAATCTGACTGGACCTGCAGCCCGTCCCAGATGAATCTGACAGGAATCACGTCCATAGCTCAGTAGAAAAAGTCCTAGAGGGAGTATCTGCTGGAGAAAAACTTCAAAAAAAATATTGCTGAGGAGCCGTCCTCGGCTGTGCAATGTCGGGTGTTATCCCGCGGCCTTGGGTTCGATCCCCACTGGCCTCATGTACCTTCCTGGGCAAATTAGCGTAGTACTGTCGAGTGTTATGTTGTAACCTCAGTTCTGGCCCGGGGGCAAAGGCTTTTACTTGCTCAAATTTGGATTGGAGATTTGGGCCGTTGATCTTTGCTATCTACGGTTGGTATCTCTTAATTCGTGCAAGTGGGACGTAGCCCCGGGGCTTATATGTTCTTCTTGCACACTTCGCCCGGCTGTGACGTCAGGCGGTGAGTGAGTTCGAGTGTCTGTTGCGTGCTTGGTCCGTTGTACGCATCGTAGGACCCTGCGCGCAGTCGTCGGTAGAGCTTGGTTCAATCTTGCCTTCATCGGAAATGTGTTCCTGGCAATGCCTCATTGATTAGCATTTCCTTTGCAAGCCGCTCACCACCAGTCCTGGTATTCGACCTGTTGTGCTCTTTCTGCGTCTGTCGGCTGCTCTCTCGATTTGACCAGCCGTATGAGGAGCCGGGAATGACTGTTGGCCGTTCTTGGAGTGCGCATCCGAGCGAGAGACGAAACGCAGGGGAGAGAGAAGTTGCAGGGAGAGAAGACGTGGGAGGAGGGAGGGTGGGAGGGTTACGTGGTGTTCTGACACACAAGAGATCGAGTCGTTGGTTTGGGTGGGAGAGAAATGGGGGAGCTTTTGGCAGCGCGCCATAGCAATCGTCTGTGCAGTCATGTCTCGTTTGCTCTCACCGCTCTACTCTATTTATGCTCGTCGTGTACAACTCTTCTTCTCTTTTGTCCTTCTTCGCGTCTGACTATGGCCATCCCCGTGCCGCTTCGCGGTGGGAAAGATAGCAACGTGGAACGGGGCCACGTGCTGCAGAAGGATGGCGACTCGACAGCTGTTCTCGGCCAACGGATTCTGATGGCACGGGGAGGTGATAGCTCCTCCCGGAGCGGCAGCTTGCGCAGCCTACCGGTAGTACGGCTTCGCCCGCGACGCCGATTGCTTGGCCAAGCGCTGGAAAGCGGACCGGCGGAGAATTGCCGTGCGAATTTTTCGTCCATCGATTTCGGCGATCTCCACGGCTCGTGCAACCAGAAGCACATGACGAGGGAAGGCTGCTGCCTCCCCCTGCTACGAATCATTGGTCCTCGACTTCTTCTGCAGCTGCGGTTCATGTCGACGGCTTGCCTGGAAGGTCTCTTCGCCGCCATGACCGATCAGGGTATCGATCCCAACGACCTGCTCGACTTCTGCTTGCCTAATTTGTCCCCCCGAGTGAAGCTGGGGACCGATTACGTGACGCAAGCGCAGCAGAGTGGAGGCTCCGTCGATCAGCTGTTAAGTGGCGTGGTGGCGACGGCAGCGGAAGTGTATGGACACTACGCAGCCGCGCCGGGATCGGAGCCAGTTGCAGCCTACGATTCATCACCCTCGGATTATTACGACGATTTTGGTGCTGGCTATGATTACGGAGACGGCCTCGCAGCAGGCAGCAGCTATTACCCGGACGCTCCCTGGTCTGGGGCTGACGACGGGGATTATTAGTCGGAAACGGAAAATTTGACTACTTACCCCGATCGTCTCTGCTTTGCCGGCCATTTAACGTCCACGTTCACTCGAATGCATGTATCGGCAATGTATGTACGGGAGCATCCTTGTTCTTTTCCAAATTTCTCCAATCAGTCTTATAAGACCCATCCAGTGAGCAGTTGGATGGTCGCTTCGGAAGACCGGATCGTCTTCGTTCTTTTGGCTCGAAGGCTGGAGCTCTGTGTATGTGTGTGTGTGTGTGTGTGTGTGTGTGTGTGTGTGTGTGTGTGTGTGTTTGTTATACATAGCCCTTGAAAAGCATGACTGTGCCAGACTGATTCGTTGCACTTTCAGCGACTCGTCAGGAGGTTGTGTTGGCGGCGGCGGGAAGAGAGGAGGGGAGGGGGGGATCTACCGTCTTCCCCCAAACACAACGCAGCCTCGTTGTGGCTGTACCCGACCGGAGGATCGCATGCATCCATTCATTATCAGGGTGTGTTATGTTCGGTGGGAGACGGTAGTGCTTGTAGATCGATTTGCTCGGTGGCCCTCTTTGCAGTGCAGTTGAACCTTTGGCCGTGTCTCCGATGGCTCAGGAGGATTCACTCGGATGTGTGGAGGGAGCCCTAGTCTCGGCGCCTCTCCTCGCTCTCTCTCTCTCTCATAGGAGGACTGATTAGTTCTATTTGTTCTGTTCGCTGCACATGCTTGCTTGTGACGGTGTGGACGTCACCCAAGCGGCTCTATGGACAGCTAGGAGATCTCCTGATTGACGTGTGTCCTCCTTTGAGGTTGAGGCTTCGGATCCGAATCTATATCTAGCGCCGGTTGTTTGATTGTTTCGTTAGTTGGGAGCGTAGTCTCTGGAGGACAATCGTACCCTACCTTTGCGCTATTCTTTGCCCCTTTTCCGTAGTCGAGGGATCGAATCTCTCTTTCCATATCCAGCGCCGGTTGTTTGATTGTTTCGTTTGTTGGGAGCTTAGTCTCTGGAGGACAGACTTACCCTCTCTCAGCGCCGGTTGTTTGATTATCTCGTTTGTTGGGAGCGTAGTCTCCGGATGACAATGTGCCCTACCTTTGCGCTATTCTTTGCCCCTTTTCCGAGGTTGAGGTTTTTAGTCTCTATGTCCGAATCTAGCGCAGGTTGTTTGATTGTTGTCTCGATTGTTGAGCGTATAGTCTCTGGAGGATGGTCATACCCCCCTACCTCATAGGCGCTATTCTTTGTCCGCCCTTTTATCAATCAGTTCCAGCAAGCAGAGGCGATGCCCCTCGCGATCAGGTTGGTGATCATGGGTCTCATTGATTGATTGATTGATTGATTGATTGATTGATTGATTGGGTGATGAGCGTTCTCCAATGACGAGTTCAGTTTCTTATATTTGGGTCATTATTTTTTTCGTCCCTCCGAAGTCTCCCCCCGCCCCCTCCTCCCTTCCTCCTGTCTCCTTGCATCAGCATACCGATGAATGCCCGCGCGATCGGCCATTCAGCGGCTTTACTATCTACTGGCTAGCGTCCGTGGATGGTCGTTTTCCAGGGAGCTATGGTTGGTCGTCTCTGGATAACAACAGCATCGAACCCACGCCCTGAAGTGTAGAAAGAGCGCATGCGTTTTTCCGACTGAGGTTTCTTGTGCAGGCGTGGTCTGCTCTCTTTTTTCCAGGATGCGCCAGATGTAGAGGTACACACACGTGTCCGCTGAACTGAATTCACCTGCGCTCCTCTCTATTGACGCAATGAACGGTGTTGTTTATTTTTCTGCTGTCCTACGATGCGCCCGATGTACACCTGTCCGCGCCGGGTGCACCGGAGCTGCTTCTTCTCTTAATTGATAGAGCGAAATGTGGTGTGTGTGCTTTATCTCAGCCCGACCGCGCCTGGGTAACTGTGAAGACACGTGTTCAAGTCCCGTGAGGAACAGGGGTAATGCAGCTAGGTTCTCGACGGCTTCTACTTTTGACGTGAATCTCTGCCAGGATCGCTCGCCCTGCCGTCCGTCCCTCGTGGAAGATTTCCGCCGGCCGTTCGTTAGCCATTACAGCTGTGCTGGCGCCCAGACGGTTCCCTGATGCAGCACAGTCGGCCTTCTTTTTCTTCCACTCTTTGGGCGGATTCGACTCGAAGAGTGAGCAAGCGACGATCTCTTTTCGCGCCGCCATTGCAGACTGCCTTCTTCTTGCCGTCCTTGCGCAGGCAGCATTTCTTTTTCGTTTGCAGCATTTCATTTTCGTCTGCAGCATTTCTTTTTCTTTTGCAGCATTTCATTTTCGTCTGCAGCATGTCTTTTTCTTTTGCAGCATTTCAGTTTCGTCTGCAGCAGTCTTTGGGCGGATTCGACTTGAAGAGTGAGCAAGCGACGATCTCTTTTCGCGCCGCCATTGCAGCCTTCCTTCTTGCCGTCCTTGCGCAGGCAGCAGTTCTTTTTCGTTTGCAGCATTTCGTTTTCGTCTGCAGCATTTCTTTTTCTTTTGCAGCATTTCGGTTTCGTCTGCAGCATTTCTTTTTCTTTTGCTTTCTTCTGCTGCAATACTGTCTGCCACATTTCCTCGCTGTTGTATCTCTTGAAAAGTTCTTTGTTTGTTTTTCCTCTTTCTTCTGTTTCTGCGTCCGTTGGTGCACACGAATTGTTTTTTGGTCTTTTTCTCGTTCGCGGGCATGTAAAACCTCCTTTTGACTGTTCTGCCTCTTTTCTTCAATGTCGAACTGGCATCTCGTACTCTCTTGATTTTCTCTCACGTGTGTACATACTCTTTCTCTCTGTCCTCCTTCCTTGTCTGACCAGACATATTTTCTTCTTTACGGTTTTACCGTGACCTCGTCTTTCGCTTTTGTGAATTCCTCTCGCGCAAAGCTGTCCGCTCTCTCTCTCTCTCTCTCCCCGCTGATTTTCTCCTTCAAAAAGTTGTTCATATCTCCTTTTTTTCTTCTCCTCCTTTTCGTGCGCACGCATTGTTTTTTTGTTCTTTTCTCAGTCTCATGCCGCATTTCATTGCTCTTTTCTTCTTTTTCTCAGTCGCATGCATTTCTTTCTTGTCCCTCCCTTTTCTTCAATGCCGAACTGGCCTCTCGTACTCTCTCGATTTCCTCTCACGTGTGTAAATGCTCTGCTCTCTCTTCTTCCTCCTCTTTGTCGACCATTACCTTTAAGCTAAGTCTGTTAGGACTGGCTACATATATACATATAGGCTGTGTATTGAAGAACTTACGAAGCTTGTGCGAAACGCAGTTGGATCCTGTTTTCACGTTTCTCTCCGTTCTGTTCGTATGTTTTTTGACCTCGTCCTCCGTTCTGTTTTTTTTTCCGTTTTCTTTGACGTCGTCATTCTCCGCCTTTCGCTTTACTTTTCCTCGTCTTTCGTTTCTTCTCTTCTTGGGATTGTGCACGGTCTGCGCAGTTTAAAATGTCCGTGCAGGTGTTGTAATGTGTGTTTTGTACGCGTAGACGCGTAGGGATCGACGACCTAAATGAGCCACAGGAGCGAGCGCATGCAGATCTATGTCTTTGTTCGAAGTTGCGCGAGAGTGGATAGCGAGGACGTAAAAAATTGACGCACCGGTAAAATGCGTTCCATTTGTTGTTGACGTCTTTCCACGCACTGTTGCCCCGTGTTGTTCGTCATTTATTTTTGTTTACTTGTTGTTCGTGCTTGTCCTCCCGCGGGCAGGTCGCCATTTCGTTGAATGTTTGAGAGATGTACAGTCTAATTATTGTTGTCGGTCCTCGGTCTTCCGTCCTTTCATTTTTTTTAATTTTTTTTTAAATATAAAAAAAATTGGACGATTTCTCGATTTATGCGTGTCATCCTTGCGCAGGGCCCATGCTAATCTTCTCTGTATCGTTCCAATTTTAACGGATGTCCCGAAGGACGTCCGTCCTTTCATTTGGTCGGCTTGCTTGTATGTTGCTCTTTACTTCTTAGCGCTTCTTAGCTGATCTGTACTCTCCCCTCTTAAGTTGTTGGTAGTCTTTCGTACCTATGAATTTTCTGGTACCCCTGTTCGGGATGGGTCTTGACTCGTTGGACGGGTGTGAAGGGAGGGCCGTGCCGAGGCGGCTTGCTGACCACGGAAGAGGAGGCGAAGGCACGAGACGCTATAACAGCGGCGTCAACCACAATTGTCGGGCTTAATTGGGGACCTCATCAACCCTACATTGAAATCTTTGAGGGGTCGGGTTTTGCTTTTTCTTTTTTTTATTACCTATGTTTTGGCTGAGCGAAGGTGGGGTGTGAAGGGAGGCCGTGCCGAGGCCGCTTGCTGACCACGGAAGAGGAGGCGAACGTACGAGACGCGATAACAGCGGCGTCAACGGCAATTGCCGGGCTTAATTGGGGACCCCATCAACCCTACATCGAAATCTTTGAGGGGTCGGGTTTTGCTTTTTTTTAATATTATTATCTATGTTTTGGCTACGCGAAGGTGGGGAAGAGTTTAGTTTCTTAATGAAAAGGGTGGACCATTTCTCGTCTCGTTTTATGCGTGTCATCCTTGCGCAGGGTTCACGCTAATCTTCTTTGTTTCGTTCCAAATCTAGATGTCTGTTCCGAAGGACGGGGAAGAGGTCTTAGGGCTGCTCTTAGGGTGTTTTTTTTTTTTTGGTTTGTGCTGACCACGGATCAGATATTAAACTGATTAGAAGTCAGAACAGATATTAGTACGTATTACACTTGTGCTCTTTGTTTTTGACGTCTGGTTATCGGTGAAACTCCGACGGAACTGATCAGAACAGATACTACACTTGGTCTTCGAGGTCTTAGAGTCTTAGTGCTGCTCTCTTTGGGTCGCAGCCCCTCGGTTGTTGTACTCTTCTCCCTCTCTGCCTATGGTTTACCGGGCAGGAGCTCTGTTTGACTATATATATATACATATATATCGTCACATATATATGCCAGGCCGAACGTAGGGAGGCCCCTAAGCTGACCCCGGAACGTTCGGGTCCCCGTACGGGGCCCGAACTTGAAGGGGTTAGGACCCTGCAAAAAAATATTTTGGCACCCAAATATCATTATTTTTTTCTGAATTTTTTTTGTGAGTTCTTTGTGATGTAAGGTATCTCCCGCTTAATTTTGAAGTCATTCTGTTCAGCCAAAAAAAAAAGAAAAATCCTCAAAGGTGGGTGGTGTCAAAACTTGCTTGCCCACTCACAAATTTGTTTTTTCCTCTCTTTTCACTTTTGTTTTTCCTTTATTTCGGGGCATAAAACAATTTATTATTTTTTCAAACTTTATTTGTAGATTCTCTATTATGTAAGATAAACATATAGAAATTTTCATGGCATTTGTCGCAGCCAAAAAAAAAATGAAAAATTGCCAAAGATGGCCGTGTCAAAAACGTGCTCGCCCACTCAATAATTTAATTCTCGTTTTATTTTTTCTAATTTTCACTATTATTATTATTTTTAGTATTTGATTTTTATTTCAAATTTGGTAAAGAATTTGGATATAACGTTGAGGCAAATGTTGTCTAGTTTATTCTTCTGCATAACATATATTTTTTTCAGATTTTTTGGAAGTCTTCTTTTTTCTTTTTTTTTTTTTTTTGGTATCCGCGTTCGGCCGAACGGCCGAACGCGTCGAGAGGGGGTGCCGAACGTTCGGCCCATCCCGAACGTCGGCAACCATGTATATATATGTATGTATATACGATATATATGCGTTAAATCAGAATGAATTAAGTTAAAACTTCATAAATAGACTTTTAGTGATTCAATGAAATTATGTAAAAAAGAGAATTCTCTTTTTTACATGATGATTTCATTGAATCACTAAGTCTATTTGTGAAGTTTTAACTTATGAATTTTATTCAAAACAATGTTTTTTATTCTTTTTTGAATTATATCGTCACAAATATATATATATGATATATATATAGATGAGTCGGTGAAACTCCGACGAAACAGTTTGTCACAGCCCCTCGTTTGTTGTCCTCTTCTCTCTCTCTGCCCACGGTTTACCGGGCAGTTCTGTTTGTGACGATAT